GGTACCGGCAAGGCGCGGAGCCGGGCTGGGCTGGGCTGGGCTGGGCTGGGGGGCGGCATCGCTGCTCCCCTCCTGGCAGGAGCGCTCACCAGGGCGGCACGAATCGGGAGGGGAGTTGAATGTGTCTCTGTGAGCTGTATGTCGGTGAACAGGTCTGTGCAATGTGCGCTCACCCTAGTCTATAGGAGCGCACGGGGGTACCCTGCAAGTCGCCTACAAATCATCTTCATCCGGAGCGATCGCACAGGAGCACAGCCCAGCACGCGCGAGCAAGGCGTGTATGTGTACACGCGGGACAGTACCTGCAGCAAGCACACCGCCAGGGTATATGCTCACGCGTGTGTAAGACACGTGCGTGCGTAGCTGCGTGCAGGACACTTCATTTCATCGGGTCCTGTCGCTTATCAGTTAATAAAATGTCTATTATATCAATTCATTTCATAATCTATATGCTCCTAATCTACCATCTTTATTGGGTCCAGCTAAAAGGAAAGGGAATTCGCTGTCCCTCCCCGTTTAGATAATTACCCTTAAATGACTGCAAGAGCCTCTTGTGTTTCGAGGAGATTAGAGCCCTGCAGCTATCAATAAACTTTTCTCAGCGAGCGGCCAATCACGTTATTAGAGAGCGGCTCCGTTTTACTGCACATCCGTCCTGGGCGCAGGGATAAGGGGCCGTAAAACAAATTTACAAAACAAAATAGCCGGGACTTTAATGGGTCTGGGGCTTAGATGTTCCTTTTTACGGGAATGAACATTCCATTATCTGGAGACACGCACACATCTATGCCATGAGACGTAGCACAATTTGTGTGTGTGTATGTATGTATGTGTGTATACACGCGCAGATCTCCGCAGACACGTCGAACACACCGCAGGGCCGGCGTTCATTTAAAAAACAAACCGACCAACCAAACCCTAAAACCGCTTTTTCAAGGCGCAGCCAGGCTGTGGGACAGGCAGGGGCTCCCTCCGGGAGGTCACACGCAGGACAGCCCGGTATTTGCTAGTTTTCCAGAAGAACACGGGTCGGGCCCGCTCCGTCGCCCGTCGCAACCAGGACGGCCGGCTTTTTTCCGACGTTGGGACATTTTTTCCCCGATTTTTGAGCCTCCCGTCCCCAGGGCGGAGCGCAGCCCCGGCCTTCCTCA